CTATATGCTATCTATCTGACAAACATCCTTCAAGCCAGTGCAAGTTGATCCCTGGACAGAATCCAAGCTGCAGAACCAATATAGTCTTAGTTGATCCTCCATACCCATAAGAAGTTTCACCAACAACAGAAGATATACTTACAAGGTTATAGAATTCATTCCATATGTTGCCATCTTATTGCAAGAGTCCTGAGATAGGAAAAATAAATAGTTGATAAAAGGCAAGTTATGGTGTGCATCATATATACTCACAGATCGGACACTACCCCTGATTGAACTGTGTAAGATTGAATGAGAACCATGATATTCAGAGGTGATTAACGGATGCTGCAGATGATAAATAAGGCAAAGTCACTACATTAGCTTTAAAGGAAAAGCTCAGTAAAACAAATTCAAAAGAATGTTCCACAGTTGGGCTAGTTGTTGGTCTAACTGTTTTTTTTTGTTATAGTTTCTAGTTAAATTAAGCTATTGGTGGATTGATGTATTTTATAACCAAATTCATGTGTAACAATTCATTCAGTTTAATTTTACTGAAATCAATTAACAATTCACTTTGAATTATATGTGTAACATTTTTCGTGTTCAAACATGTTTAAAGGAATTTGTGCTTATATCGTTAGTAATATTTATATATTTCTTTAAAATAATTATTCATAATGAATATTAAAATGATTTTAAAGGGGGAATTAACCGATAAGATTATATATATTTCTATAGATATAAATAACAAAAGCGAAAATATGGTTATTTTTATTTCATTACATATTTTTCTCCTGATGATGATACGGACAACAATAAAAATAAAGATAAAGAGTAAATGTTACAAATTGAAGAAGGAATTATGTTGTTGCAAATTTATTCCATAAAAGTATTATCCTAACTATTATAACATCTTAAAAATGGTTAAATTTAAAAATTTCAATATAAAAAAACAATCAAATCCAAAATTTTAAAAAAATAAATTCAAAGATGATATTTGAGATATTTTCTCTTTTACATCATATATTTATATTATTAATAAATATAAAATATTTTAATTTTTTAACATGGTAATAAAGTAAGTTTTCTTATATATTTTTTTCTATATCATAACATATTCCTCAATCTTCCTTTTTCCTCATCCAAAATCACCTAAAATCCGAGCAAGGAATGGTCACGTGGCTCACGTGTCAACGCATTCTCGCCTCCCATTTTGTGGCCACGCTATTCTCAATTGCTGCAGCGTCCCAGTGCTATCTCTATCCATCTCTACTCAACAGTTTGGTGGATGGCTTCTTCTTCTTCTTCCTTGTTTCGTTCCATTCCGATTTCATTTCCATCCACCAAACAATGCGCTCGTAAATCCCTGCGCCCTTCGCTTCGTGCTTCCGCCACTCCAACACAAAAGGCTCGGTTCGTTGCTCGCCGTAAAGAGTCCGTTTCCGTTCGCCAACTGCAGCGTCCCCTAAGTAATGTTAGAGCAATATTAATTAATCAATACTTCTAATTAATCTATAAACCTGTTATAGTATCTGCAGTTTTCAACACCATAATCGAAAATAGATTAGGTACAGTATTGATGGTGTTTTGTCTGGAAAATATCTTCTCGATAACTTAAAATTAGATTAAGCTAATTTGCAATTTTTTTATAAGTATTTTATTTAAATTATTGCTTTTATTTATAGATGTTACCATAATTTTAGGTTGTAAAGAAATCCATTCCACTTTTTCTTCATTTTGTTCTTCTCTGGAATAGTTTAGGGACAAGCTCATCTGTATATATATACCTTGGATTGTGTGAAACAAATACGGGTGTGTTCAGACAAGTTTTTAGTAAATACTTAACTGAAAGCAATATTAAAGGAGTTTCTCCATAGGTTAAGCTTATGAACGGATTAAATTAAAAAAAAAGAATTTAGAAATTATGCACAAATTAAATTCAAAATAAGAATTTAGAAATTATTCGCAGATTAAATTAAAAATAAGAATTTAGAAATTATGCACAGATTAAATTAGAAATGTAAATTTAGAAAAGTTATATGACAATGCCTCTATAAATTAATTATGAAAAAAAATTAATTTTATTAACTTATGGAAAAACTAATTTTAATTTTTCTTTTCCTATAGTTGTTTGCTCTTCTCCTACAAGTTGCTCCTAAAGTTGTTTTGGAAAAAGTTTGTCCAAATTGATCTTATATGTATGCATAAAGATTGAAAAGATTAGTTTTAAAGTGAAAGGACTTCAAAGATAAAGATTGTGAGTAGAAGAACTAGACTAGATGAGTTTTTCTATATTTTTGTTTGATTTTGAAAAAGCGGTAATTTGTTTGAATTTTGTGATCTGTGCAGTTGAGTACATGCGGTTACCAGCGAGTCAGTACTCGGTGTTGGACGCGGAGAGGATTGAACGGGTAAATGACGACACGTTTCGGTGTTACGTTTATAGGTTCAGGTTCTTCAACTTTGAGATTTGTCCAGTGTTGTTGGTTAAGGTGGAAGAGCAGCCTGATGGATGCTGCATCAAGCTCTTGTCTTGCAAGGTGTCAAACTTATTTGAATGTGTTGCTGAATTTAGTTTTCTACTGTGTTGATTTGTTTCGTTATTTTGATTATTTGCTTTGACGATTGGTGACAGCTCGAGGGATCACCTATGATTGCTGCACAGAACGACAAGTTTGATGGTGAGTTTTGTTAAATGCATGTCAAATGTGTATAGTTTTAGGTTGTGGTGTGGTTGTTAAGATTGTGTTTTGATTAAAAAAATTTTGGGAAACACAGCACAGACTGCAGCTGCAAAGGGTTGTGTAGACCTTACAAATTGCAATGTTGCAGCCTCCCTTGTGATCATGGAGCCCAATTTAAATCGATATGATAAAGGATGTCTGTTAGAATTTATTTATTTTTATTTCCGTTTGTGAGTGCATTAAGAATAAATGATTATGAATTCATACTCTCATAAGGTTCTGAAACTCACAAGTTACGATCCTAGCTTGAGAAAATGATTTAACACGCAATCAAACTATTTTCTGAATGAACATGGATGAACTTTTAAACTCGTGTAAACTTGCATAAATTCTCGAGTCAAGAAGTTTGAAATTATTAGTAATTTTTGCCCTTTATTAACCTTACAATGACTATATTTTATTAGGGTTCAAACTAGTTGAACAAATTAGCTACTTTGTGAAATGTTTTTACTTTAAGAACATACTTTTTGAATATATATATATATATATATATATATATATATATGTATGTATATATATATATATATATATATATATATATATATATGTATATGTATGTATGTATAATTTAATTTTATCTTATTTAGACTAGTACACTATTATCAAAGTTTATGAATCAAATATGCGAGTCAAGTCTACTTCGAGTTCAACAACCTTGCATATACAACATCTTCATACTTACTAAATGAAGAAAGTGTTGAATGGATGATATGAATTTGTTTTTCTACTTAATGCCTTTTTATAAAGTATTCAGAGGGCATGATATGAAGATGAAGCATAATTGTTAAAGCTGTTTTGATGAAGTTCTCTTTAAACACCTACAGGATGAAAAAATAAGAAGGAAAATGATATAAGTTTTTTTACAAGTTAATATTAGTTTACGCATAAGTTAATTTATGAAAGTTTTTTCTTGTTTACTTCTCCATTAGCCGATTTTATTTCTACAAACTAACTTTAGCTTATTAAGCAATTATTTTATTTTTCTTTCTTATCATTTACTCCTGTGCGTGTTTATGGGGAAGTTTATTCAAACATAGCCTAAGAAATGTCAGATTTAACTTGTTTATATGAGCTGAGATGTATGTGAATTCTTGGAAAGTGTTGGTCTTGTCAAATTGTTTGAAAAAACAACTACGATGTGAGTGGCTAAATTGGTATGAAAGTGGATCAATGCTTATTCTGCTCAGTACTGCTTTTGATTGTAGCTTACTGGCTATTCATTGGAAGCAGTACCTGTGATAATTACAAAACTATATGTTACTTCCTTATTTATAGCAGCAGCTGAGGCAATTTTTTTGTACTCGAGGAAAGCAATATAGGGTGTCATGGTGTTTGGTTTATGCTACTTTCAGGAATACCTTTTCAATACTTTAATATGGTAATGCAGCTCTAATGGTTAACCGGATATCGTGTGATACTAACGCTGATAATGATAAGTCTTTGATGCAGCAACTCACATCAGACACTATAATTGAGGTAGTACTCTATGTTTATTTCATTTCTTGCGATTTTATATTTGTTGGATTCCAGTTAAAGTGTTCTTTTGGGTTGCTATGTGGAATGCAGGTAAGCATTGAAATTCCTTTTCCTTTCCTAGCAATACCAAAGCAAGCAATTGAATCAGCTGGGACTCAAGTCCTTGAACAAATACTCAGGCTTATGCTTCCCCGATTTATGTCACAGGTTTGTTAAAGCTTAGTATTATCTGCAAATTTTATTAAGCTATTGATAGGTTCTTGGGATCAAGAACCTATGGACAACCACTCGAATACACACAAAGACAATTTATCTGAATTATACAGCCTCCTTTTATTGAAAAGAATGAAAAGAATCAACAAGAATGGTGATACAACGTAACCCGAGAGCTTAACCTCCCTCCAAAGAACTACAAGAGTTCCCGCCAAACCATAACACTCCAAAAGCTCCCCCCTCTCACCAACCAACCCACCCCTTTTATACTGACTTACCTAACTGCCAGGCAGTTAGGCTGGGTAATGTTTCTTCTTCTACTAGATACAATTAGTTCCCTAACAGCTATGTTTTTCCTTTATGGATAAAAGAAGAAATTCATTTGAAGAAAAATAACACAATAGATCCCAATTGAACAGAGCTTCCCAATCCTTGACAAATAGACCCCTAGAAATGCCTAATCTTTGTTCCAAATCAAATTGTGTAGTAGATGTATACACCAGGGTAAAAAAGTCTTGTGCAGGCTTGACAAATCTAGTGGTGATTTTTCTAGACGACAAATCTAGTGGTGATTTTTCTAGACTCCACTTTTTCTCTTATGAAATGATAATTCACCTCAATATGTTTGGTCCTCATGAAAGGTAGGATTGGAGGCAATGTGTAATGCTGCCTAATTGTCACATATATGGTGCAATTGAAAACTTTCTTCAAATTTAAGCTCTTTGAGAAGTTGTTTTAGCCATATGAGCTCACAATTGACTGTCATTGCCCTGTGTTATGATTTTTCACTTCATCTTGTCATAATATTTTCTTTTTACTTTTCCATGATATTAAATTACCTCCAAGAAGAACATAACTCCCTGAAGTGAAGCATCTATCACTTGGTGACCCTGCCCAGTCAGTGTTAGAATGCCTTAGAATATTTGATTATTTCCCTTATTTTCACAAAATGAGGCCTTTTCCTGGAGTTTTCTTGTTATACTTTAAGGTCCATAGGATTGCATCTCAATGGTTTTGACAATGAGAGTTTAAACATTGACTTATTATCACAACAAAGGTGATGTATGATGAGTCATAGTGAGATAATTAAGCTTACCAACTAACCTTGTGCATCTCACACGATTAGACGTTGGTTTTCTTTGCTCGGGTACAAGTTTCACGCTTGGATCTATTAATGTGACTACAAGCTTAGCATTTAACATCTTTGTTTCTACTAAAATTTCAAGGGCATATTTTTCTTAGATATGACTAAACCATCCTTCGATTGTGCAACTTATGTACCAAGGAAGTATCTCAAGGGTCCAAGATATTTTGTTTGGAACTTTTGAGCAAGATTGTTTTAGTTTGTATTCTCCTTGTCACTACCTGCGATAGTAACGTCTTCCACATATACAATATACATCCTTGGGAAGAATGACGATAAAATAGAGAATGATCAACCTATCATTCCAAACTTTGGGATGATAGTTTGAAAGATATTGCGGTTCTCGAGTTCTTTCTTCACAATTGCAATGGTGGAAGGAGTTTCCTAAATCATATATAAGGCAACATGAAGCTGCCCAACATAAATTATCATGGAGCAAGAAGGGTTAAGAGATCTTGGAAAAACGTACAAATGTTGTGTGCAGTTGGTATAAAGGCCACAGCTCTCGGTCCAAACTAATGCACATGTTTCATGGGGACGAAAAATAGGTGAGTGAGGTATGAATAGTAGATATAATAACTGCATAGTTAAGCATCAATCTTATCCATTGGTCAGATTGTTTTATAGGAACAAATTCAACTTTTGTAATGAGATGGGATTCATAGCCCAACCCACTTAAGCGTAACTTGATTTTAGAAGCCAAGTGGAATCGTTATACCCATTCCATCTTCTCGATACGAACAATGTGATTTGAAAAGATATGAGAATCTATTCTAGGAAAGACGTTTTTTCCTTGAAAAAGAAAATAAGATGGTTTAATACACCATTTGGTCCCTACTTTTAGGGGTTTGGTTCAAAGTGATTCTACCTTTTAAAAAAGTTCAGTAAGACCCCATATTTTGTTAACAAATGTTCAATCCGGTTCTTTTCGCTCACGCCGTTAAAAACATAATGGTGCAAATGCCACCGTGGCCAAACCTAAATGAGTTGTGCAGTTTGATGAATACGTGGCACGTTTGAAGAGGTTGCCCTGTGTAAATATTTTAAAAAAAATTAAAATGATGTAAGTTAGGTGCAAATCCCAACAGCCACATCATCTGCAAATCCTCCAACCTGGTCCAAAATCACTCTCTGATGATGATGGGCTCCACCCCAATTATCCTCACCTTTGGATTAACCCTCTTCACATAACAATCACTGCAGAGCAGATAACTCTTTTTTCCAACAACTCCCTGGGAAGCTTTGCCATCATATTATAAGCTCCACGAATCTTAAATGAGAAAACGGGTTGCATATCCTCTCTCTTGAGCCAAACCTTAACCCCGAGTTTCCCAAAAAGCTTTGGCGCCAATTGTAGAGAGGACTCAATTGCTACGTCGTAGACCTTCGAAGTGAGAATATTCGTCAAATAACTCAACGCATTCATCACGCCGTCGCCACCACTGTCANTTTAGTTTGTATTCTCCTTGTCACTACCTGCGATAGTAACGTCTTCCACATATACAATATACATCCTTGGGAAGAATGACGATAAAATAGAGAATGATCAACCTATCATTCCAAACTTTGGGATGATAGTTTGAAAGATATTGCGGTTCTCGAGTTCCTTCTTCACAATTGCAATGGTGGAAGGAGTTTCCTAAATCATATATAAGGCAACATGAAGCTGCCCAACATAAATTATCATGGAGCAAGAAGGGTTAAGAGATCTTGGAAAAACGTACAAATGTTGTGTGCAGTTGGTATAAAGGCCACAGCTCTCGGTCCAAACTAATGCACATGTTTCATGGGGACGAAAAATAGGTGAGTGAGGTATGAATAGTAGATATAATAACTGCATAGTTAAGCATCAATCTTATCCATTGGTCAGATTGTTTTATAGGAACAAATTCAACTTTTGTAATGAGATGGGATTCATAGCCCAACCCACTTAAGCGTAACTTGATTTTAGAAGCCAAGTGGAATCGTTATACCCATTCCATCTTCTCGATACGAACAATGTGATTTGAAAAGATATGAGAATCTATTCTAGGAAAGACGTTTTTTCCTTGAAAAAGAAAATAAGATGGTTTAATACACCATTTGGTCCCTACTTTTAGGGGTTTGGTTCAAAGTGATTCTACCTTTTAAAAAAGTTCAGTAAGACCCCATATTTTGTTAACAAATGTTCAATCCGGTTCTTTTCGCTCACGCCGTTAAAAACATAATGGTGCAAATGCCACCGTGGCCAAACCTAAATGAGTTGTGCAGTTTGATGAATACGTGGCACGTTTGAAGAGGTTGCCCTGTGTAAATATTTTAAAAAAAATTAAAATGATGTAAGTTAGGTGCAAATCCCAACAGCCACATCATCTGCAAATCCTCCAACCTGGTCCAAAATCACTCTCTGATGATGATGGGCTCCACCCCAATTATCCTCACCTTTGGATTAACCCTCTTCACATAACAATCACTGCAGAGCAGATAACTCTTTTTTCCAACAACTCCCTGGGAAGCTTTGCCATCATATTATAAGCTCCACGAATCTTAAATGAGAAAACGGGTTGCATATCCTCTCTCTTGAGCCAAACCTTAACCCCGAGTTTCCCAAAAAGCTTTGGCGCCAATTGTAGAGAGGACTCAATTGCTACGTCGTAGACCTTCGAAGTGAGAATATTCGTCAAATAACTCAACGCATTCATCACGCCGTCGCCACCACTGTCAGACCAAGATCGGTGGGGAACCGCACCGACGTATCCCGGTGGGTACTGGAGGAAATCCGGTGAGACCCGGGGGCGCAAGGGAGGAAGAACGCGCGGCCTCCGACGGCTTGTGTGCAAAATAAGAAGCAACCCTAAGCTACATTCCAGAACAACTCGAGAGGGTGCACAAGAGAGAAACCACCATTTTTTGTCCTCCACCATGAGCGTAGTGAGTAATAGAGAAGACTGTGAGTACCAAGGAGTTGTGCAGGGACCCTTGTTGTAGTCACGAGATTTTCTAGGAACCAAGGAGCCTTTAAGGAATTCACTGGAAAACCTAGGTAAGGGGAGTTAACTTTTTGATGTATTGATTGAGCATGATGCGTTTCCTTTGAAACTTGTTAATCTTGAGAAACGGTGTGGATAGATAGTATACCCAATTGGAAGGTTGTGGGTTGCTAAGGAAAAAAAAATGGTTTGGGATGTTATTCCCAGAATATGAATGCACAGGTTGAAGGATTACAGTGCATGTGGTTTTGTAGTAAGGGATAAGTGCATATCGTGAATATTTGGAGGGTAGCCGTGAGTTGGCTAGGTTAAGAATGTAAATAAGAGTAGGAAGTGTTAACGTGTTGTATGAGTGAAATATGACAATAGAGTGCATTGGCGATGGGTTGTGTTCTCAATAGAGATACCAACATGGGTTTATGGGTATAAATTATTATTTTGTAATTGCATGAAATGTTTGATGGGTATTAAATGTATGGAAGTGGTATAAATGTTGAATAATGTACTGTCATCATCACATAATGGTATGAGTGCATGTTTTCTTTTTGCAAGTGAAGAGTTTCAATGCATGTAGGGGCCATGGTAAGATGAAGAGAAATATTATATTTTCTTCCTGTATAGTGTAGACGTTGGAATTCGGAGAGTTAGAAGGGGTTCTTGATATTGGCATTTAATGGTTTTCGTGGTACCTACCTTGGGAGGGAAATCATAATATGGTTAATACCAAGTGCATGAAATTGTTGTTGTGCATGTGCTGCTATGTCCCTTGTTGATAGGTAAAGTACGCAAACAATATTCTGGGGTTGCATGGGTGGATTATAAGAATGGTGAAGGGTTATAGGCTAAGGTTTTCGTTGTGCAGATTTTAAATTTTGGGTCTATAAAATAGGTCTAGGCAAGCTAAAGGAGTTTTCTTTGAAGATATAAAGATTGATGAGAGAGGTGGAGAGGTTATCTAATGGGCACGATTTTGTTGTTAATAAGCAAGGATTCTTTGTTTTAGTTATATTGATGTCGTCCTAACAGTGAAATATCTAGTTTTATGGGTTTTGAAAATTATATCATTTTTGAGTTATTATTGAGTGGAATAATATATAGGGTGATATAGGGTGGAATCTGGAGGTGGGTGTATAAAACTGGTACATTGTTGGGTAGTGTCCAGAGAAATATTCTTTCTCTAATCAATACATCAATATCTCTCTCTTCAACCATTAAAAGTCATTTACGTTTTTCTCTTTCTGCATTTAATTCTTCAAACAGCCATTTACGTTTCTCTCTCTGTATTTAATTCTTTCAGCCACATATTCATCAAACTGCACAACTCACTTAGATTTGGCCATGGTGGCATTTGCATCGTTATGTTTTTAACGGCGTGAGCAAAAAGGACCAAATTGAACATTTTTTAACGAAATATGGGGACTTACTGAACTTTTTTAAAAGGTAGAATCATTACTGTGAAAATGAAATTATATTGAATCACTTGGTTGATACACCCTTCTCCTTAATCCTATATTTATAGGATTAAGTGAATGGAACACACCTCACACACACTCAGATACAGCACATACACACTCACAGCTTACATACACTTAAACACAACTTAAACACAATAACCAATAATTCTAACAATCACTTTGAACCAAACCCCTAAAAGTAGGGACCAAATGATGTATTAAACCAAATAAGATAACCTAAAGAGAGTAAGTGTTACAAAAAAGGTTAACCCGTCCATACAAGGTCTAGAATTTCCTATAACAAACGCCCCTCCTTAAGAAGCCGGCACCTGGCGGCTTGGAAAATTCGGGACTCCCCCAATGGTTTGAGTAGGTTCCCCCAAGGTTCGAACTCGAAACATCGGGTTCGTTGCAAGGCTCTAATACCATTGTTACAAAAAGGTTAACCCGTCCATACAAGGTCTAGAATTTCCTATAACAGTGAGTCACAAGTCGGGCTTAAGGGTGTGCACAAAAGGGTGATTTTCATTGATGTTTAGGCAGTTGGATAGATTGGCGCGATGCAATCCATAAAAGGTCCTTTTGCTCACTCTTGATTGTTTCATTGTTTTTCATGGTTTCTAATGTTTCATAAAACATAGATTGCTTTGTCTTTCTTGTATGTGCTTTTCATGGATGAGACTATCAGTTTGCACTTGGCAGAATTTTGTAGGAAATTGCAATGTACTTCCGGATTTATAACAAGCATTGATATAACTTATAAGGCATTGAATTATTAGTATGAAGCACATTTAAAAGTGACTTCATTGTAAATAGAAAATTATTAGGATAAAATAATCTCAATATTTCCATAGTATATAAGAAAAAATATGTTCTAAAATCCTAGTTAGGTTTATTAGGTGATATGGTCAAGTTATAACATATAATAAGTGCAAACCTCACTTTATAAACCAATTTTATGAGATTGAGTTAGGATTAAATACTTTTTAAGACTTCTATTGTAAGTTTGGGATGACCCAACATGTGACCAACCCAAAATGTTTGTGATGTAACCAAACTAGAATCTTAGGAGATTGTTTTAGGCCATATAAAGATTTGTGAAGATGACATGCTAATTTGGAAGACTCATCCTGAGCAACAAAACCTAGAGGTTGTTCTATATAAATTTCCTTTTGCAAATCACTATTAAAAAAAACATTTTTGACATTCAGTTGGTGTTGAAGAGTAGTCATAACATAAATAAGCGAACAAGCAAATAGAAACCATCTTTGCCACTAGAGAAAAAGTACCATCATAATCCAAATCAATAAAAAAATTGTGTGAAATCTTTGGCCATAAGGCTAGCTTTGAGACGATCAATAGTACTACCACGAACAATTTTGATAGCAAAGACCCACTACAACAACCAGTGGATTCCTAGACGGTCCCAAGTTCCACGGTTTTGAAGAGCATAACCCACAAGTCTTTGCATTGGAATCATGTTCTGATACCAATTTAAGAAGTGAATTTTATGTCTAACTCAACCCTACAAAATTGGCAGATGAGGTTTGCATCCATTTATGTAATGTAAATTGGTCTTATTTCTATTCTATGTGAGACTTTCAACACTCTCCTTATGTTGAGACATGTACATCTCAAGTGTGAAACTAGATATTAATAGGTGGTCTGATAGCGGTTGGAACAATAAACTCAATAAACAATCATCTTCACTAAAATAGGCTCTAATATATGACTCTAATATCATGTGAAAATAGTGAAAAATTAGATATAAAATTAATTTCCTTTGTGTAAAAAATATACATAGGATAATACATTTATAATGAAAAATAATACAGAAAATTGGGCTTAGCCCAATATATAATACTATAACTATCATAAGATATTCGAACTAACAAAATCTAACTATATTCAACACTAATAATCGATATAACCAACTGAGAGCTCATCCTACACGTCTAACAGACTCTTCGTTTGCCTTACTCTCCTTTCTCCTAGTGTAAACCTTCCACACCTTGGGCCTATCTGTGTCTTGCCAAATAGTCTGCACATCACCTAAGTCACGGATTGATGGTGGAACCGTGCTTAACTCTGTCCATTTATTTCTCTGTTCTCTGTTGTGCACCTAGTTATAATAACATAAAAAATCTGGTTGTTTATTTTAAAAATGCAGAAGAAATATATTGTCTATCATCGATATTACTCTCACAAAACTAAATTAATATTTTACAAATTGTCTTCTAAGTGGTACTATTAGCAAACTATCATATCGTACATTCTTATTTTTCTTTCCCAAGTGCACTCCTGCTGTACTGAAACAAGACCTAATGTTGATGACAAAAAGCATGGAATTTCATACCTCTTTTTCAAACTTTTTTCTATCTTTCTTCTTGCTATTTGTTTCTACATGCATTTGAAGTTGAAAGATTTTGACCAGATTTTCATATTTTTCAGATTTTACTTTGCTATTACTGCAATTTTTAGTTTCCCTGGGTTATTTGATACATCTTTCTTTTGTTCTTGATTGTATTTGACTTTCCCTTCTAATTACTGACTTATTGTTTTCAATATCAAAGGAATTATATAAAATCAAGGCAAGTAATTAAGGATTACTATCATACACCTATTTGATTTTTAGAAAGAACATTTTAACAATATATCTTAAATGTATTTTATAAATAACAGTCTTAGAATTTGAGGTTGGAACTTTCTCAATCTTACATAATTAACTTGTTTAGCAAGATCTACAACTTATTAAGTATTCTATTTAGACATGTCATAATTCAACTGGTGGATAAACTACCATTTTTGAGGCTACAATTAAGACAACTTTCAAAGAGGCCACAACTAAGATGAGCTAGGAGTGACTGAAATTAAGGCGGCTCCAACATATAGTCTTATAACTTGATAAATTTTCCTAAAGACTGGGTGTATGTTTGTAAATCCTATATGGATTTGTGAATATACAGCGTCTTTATTTTTTAAAAAGAATATTTTAGCTAGTTACGTCTCGGGTATATTTCAAGAAAATTGAAGTTATAACTTATAAAATAGTTCTAAAAAGCAAGCTGGTATACATTAGCATATCCTAATTATATACGGTGTTAGTGTTATGTAATCAAATTGTGTTTTTAAGATTTAAAGAAACCTAGTTTGTTGGTTCTTTATAAATGTAGGTTCAAATAAAATGAGATTGGTTTGTTGACTGAAGTAGTAGTAGTAGTAGCTATAGTTTATGGTTCAATAATGAACTGCATGGTACATATAATCTTGTTCATATTTTATATACTGAACAATTTATGAATTTGATAAGTTTGTTATATATTTTTCTTAAGCAGCTTGTGAAAGATTATCAAGCTTGGGCCACTGGTGATACCTCAAGGCAACCTCTGGGAACAGGTGAAATCTGAAATAATGCGTTGCCACTGGCGCCCTTAAATTGCTGTATAGTCAATAGGTTCTAGAAATATCGCTTGTAGCATGTGCATTATTGCATTCTTGGTTAGTAGCTGGGTGAACATTTTTTTGTTTGTTTGGAGATGGTATTGGTTGTAACGTAATCTATATGATTAAATGGAATTTGAAAGATTCGTGAATTTTAGATGTGGGTACTTCAATTGTGTGTGTGATTAAAATAGATTTAAGATGACTCTAATATTATATTAAAAAATAAATTTTAAATATTTTTCAATTTTACAATGTAAACTTGAAAGATGAAATTTGTACTTTTTTTTTTATATATTTCAAAATTATCTTATATTTAATCAAGGTGAGATTTCTAATAAATATCACAAGTTTTACATAAATTAATATCATTTTACTCACTTCAATGTCCTTTTAACTAATAAATATTTTGTTTTCTCAAATCTCATAATNTAAGTTTGTTATATATTTTTCTTAAGCAGCTTGTGAAAGATTATCAAGCTTGGGCCACTGGTGATACCTCAAGGCAACCTCTGGGAACAGGTGAAATCTGAAATAATGCGTTGCCACTGGCGCCCTTAAATTGCTGTATAGTCAATAGGTTCTAGAAATATCGCTTGTAGCATGTGCATTATTGCATTCTTGGTTAGTAGCTGGGTGAACATTTTTTTGTTTGTTTGGAGATGGTATTGGTTGTAACGTAATCTATATGATTAAATGGAATTTGAAAGATTCGTGAATTTTAGATGTGGGTACTTCAATTGTGTGTGTGATTAAAATAGATTTAAGATGACTCTAATATTATATTAAAAAATAAATTTTAAATATTTTTCAATTTTACAATGTAAACTTGAAAGATGAAATTTGTACTTTTTTTTTATATATTTCAAAATTATCTTATATTTAATCAAGGTGAGATTTCTAATAAATATCACAAGTTTTACATAAATTAATATCATTTTACTCACTTCAATGTCCTTTTAACTAATAAATATTTTGTTTTCTCAAATCTCATAATATAAAACATTCCATCGTGTAAAACATTATATCAACTTCATTTAATATTTTATTCTAAATTTTAAAACTCATTTATGTAAAAATCAATCAACATTGAATCATGTATAAAATAACAATTTAAACTTTCAAATTACATAATACTCAATATAATTTTAAAATTTTTGGGCATCATCTAAAACGTATCATTGGAAATTAACTTTAACAATTTTATATTGTTGATTCTGAATATCATTATATTTTTTTACACAAAAATTAAAACCATCCTAAATGTCCTCAATAGCAACCTTTTAAAAGGCTTCTAAAAGCTTGTTCCGAGTGGCATACACTGAAAAGCTACCAGCTTGTGTTATTTGTTTCCGATTGCCCTTTTGATTTGACACTGCTTGGCCAATGAATTTTAAACAACTATGTCTTATCGTTCCCCGTTCTTTTTCTTTGTTAGGAAATTGCGTTTTGCACAAAAGTTTAAAATGTTGTTCTTTCAGATTTCTATATTACAAAATTTTAAAATACATTTTTAATTATATAATCTAAGATATATTATTTAATTTAAAAACAAATTTGAAAGTAAATATATATTTTAAAGTATCCTTGTAAACATAGATTCAATCTTTTAAAAATAAAATCAAACATACTCTTCTATTTATAATCAAACACAATAATATATATATATATATATATATATATATATATATATATATATTAATTTATACTTATTTATGTATTAAACTATTACACATACAATTTAAATTTAATGATATGACTAAAATTTTAAAAGTTATATATTTAGTATTTTAAAGGATAATGATACTTTAACAACATTTTTTTGACAACATTGTCTACGTGTCATTTTGTGATTGGTCCAAAATTACTCCACAATCAATGATAATAATCATAAACACTGACATAGACTAATCATAGAATGACACGTGATATTAAAATATTATAAAAAATATTATCAAATTATCATTATCCTATTTTAAAATGTGTGCATTAGAAAAGGAATCAAATGGAGCCAAGCAATCTCTTACAAAATTTTTAAGTGATATTTGAAATCAGATCAAATGAATCATAAAAAAAATAAACTATTTGAGAAATTGTCTTACATGCACATTGGTATGAGAAAAGTCATAATAGCTACAAGACATAACCTGCGACCATAATAATGTTCTTGGAATTGAAACATTGGACTCACATGGGGTTACCCTTTCTGTCATCTTTCAATAACCTCTTTTCACTGTCACAATAATTCTTCACTCTCTTTCACCTAATAATAGCCACACATTTTTCTCTTCCAAACAAAATCTTACTGTTTGGTTTGGATGATAGATTTAAAAAACGAAAAATGAATGAATTTAAGAAGAAAAAATGTATTAATGAATTGTTTGAATTAAGAAATTTATGATGAATGTTTATAAAAACTTAATAAATAATGTGATAAATTTAATAATTAAGAAAATAATACATAAAAATAAAACATTATTATTATATTATCTATTATTATTATTTATAATTATAAATAATATCAATTTTATGATGTGTTTATTTCGATTAGCAACTCTGTAAATATTGACAAAGATGAATTTGAGAGTAAAATTTTGTTCGTATTTTGAAATGAGGGATGACAAAGATGTACTACCACTCATAATGCCTTTATCGAGCTCAACGACGTCTGAGTTTATCGACGTTTTTGTCGAACTCAATAAATATTGATTGAGTTCGAACAATTGCATTTTTTCATAACGTGTCCATAAGGAGTTTCCGCAACCATTGACACCACCATACCAAGTCGCCGTAACCACATCTAATCAAGATTCATAACGTCTTTGCTGAGCTCAACGACATCTGACCTAGCCTATCAATGTCTTTGTTGAGCTCAATAAACGCTGACCGAACTCAACAAAATAGTTCGAAAACATAATGGTTGACTTCTCATTGTTTCTTTTTTCTTCCTTTCCCTTAAATTGACACTTGAACTTTAATATAGCATTGTTACAATCTACAACACACAAACACAATATCATAATCGGTTATACATGTAGCTCATCCAATTCCAAGCATGTTGGAATCAATTCAAACTCCTTTCTTCATATCTATGTCTCAATAAAATTGATTCCAACTCCTTTGCATTCAGTGTGAATCGGTTCTAGCTTGTACGAAATCGAATTTCCTTTTCTAGAATGTTCTTCTAACTTTGATCTTCAACCAAAATTGAAAATCATAACTTCATGACAAAAGATTAAAAATATATTTTCATGCACGTGTGAACAAACAAATTAAAGATAAAAATATAATTTCATACATAATATTCTTAAATAATGTGGTCGGAAGAGATTCTACCATCATTCTATCCCACAAATGTTCGTCTTCTCTCTTTTAAAATACGAACAAATTTTACTCTCAAATC